TGGATATACTTACCTAAAGATAGACTTATACACGGATGCACTCAGCTACTGATCCACTTATGTCATACACTTGTACTGTATACTTGAAATTCATACAAGGGGACACTCATACAGGGTTAGAGAGATACAGTCATACAAGGATATGGGATAGTCATACAAGATAGCAATCCTACATTGATGTCATAAATAATACAGAAATACAAGAAAAGTCTCATACAGTCAGGCAGATACAGTCACTCAATAATACAGTCATGGAACGATACAGTCATACAGTATATGTGTACAGTGTGTGTATGTGTGTAGAGTACAGGAGATGTTAACAGTGTGTCTGTGTACAGGTGGGTTCACACACACACACACACACACACACACACATGTTACGAAACAATATGACCACCTAAGCTCCGTGAGGAAGACTAGACCTTATGTCCCGTAGGCCTGTTCATATCAGGTGTTGAGGCAAGATAGTGTTATAGGAGCCGATAAGTGTATAATAATATCCACTACCTTGAACTTTGACCCTTGAACAGTAGACGGTCTCAAGGGGCAGCGATAAGTGTGTGTGTGTGTGTGGTGTGAGACCCGTTACCATGGAGACTCACTGTGTTTACTTGCAGGGTCTACTGGAGAGGCTACGAGAGGGGCCAGTTATCGGTGACGGAGGCTACGTCATTGAGCTGGAAAAGAGAGGCTACGTCACTGCTGGCTTATGGACTCCTGAGGCTACTGTAGAACACCCTGAGGCAGGTGAGACGAGAGAGAGAGAGAGAGAGAGAGAGAGCCACAACTCAACAACAATCAGTACCAGTTAATATCTTTTTCCCTCCCTCACAGTTCGTCAACTTCACCGGGAGTTTTTAAGGAGTGGCTCTGATGTCATACAGTCTTTCAGCTTCTTCGCTTCTGGTGACAGGATTAGTGACACGAAGAACAAGTTTACGGTAAGGAGGAAGGAAGGGGAGATAGGTGGAGAAGTGGAGAAGGAAGGAGGAGTGAGGAGGAAGGAAGGAGAGATAGATGGATACGTGGAGAAGGAAGGAGGAGTGAGGAGGAAGGAAGGAGAGATAGATGGATACGTGGAGAAGGAAGGAGGAGTGAGGAGGAAGGAAGGGGAGAGGTAAAAGGGTATACGAAGAGAATGCAGGAGAATAAAGGAAGAAAGGAAGGAAATGGTAGAGTAAAGAATAAAGAGAGGAGATAGAAGGATAAGGGGAGAATTCAGAAGGAGTTTTATTCCTTGTAAGATTCCAGAGACTTGTTTGATATCTGGAGCTGTTTTAACCTAACCTAACCATCATTACTATGGGGTGTAAACATGGTCATCAATTTATATTTATGAAATTAGTTTAACTGCCACTATAAGTCATTACGTCAAATAGTTATAAAAAAAATATTAAATAATTTCTGGTTTTTGGGGGAGTGATTTACGGGATAAACTGTTTTATTTGTAATTTCTGGTTAAATAAACTGTTTCAATGTGTTGTGGTTAGGGTGAGGCTATCAATCAAGCTGCATGCAACCTAGCAGTGGAGGTAGCGAGAGAGGGGGATGCCCTGGTGTGTGGTGGTGTGTGTCAGACGCCAGCTTACCGTAAAGGAGCCACTAAGAACGAGACACGAACCCTCTTCAGGAATCAGATGCAGGTCCTCGTAGACAACAGGGCTGACTTTCTCCTGTGCGAGGTGAGGATATTACCACAACACGTACAGGACCTGGAGGATATTACCACAACACGTACACGACCTGGAGAATATTACCACAACACGTACACGACCTGGAGAATATTACCACAACACGTACACGACCTGGAGAATATTACCACAACACGTACACGACCTGGAGAATATTACCACAACACGAGAATATTACCACAACACGTACACGACCTGGAGAATATTACCACAACACGTACAGGACCTGGAGAATATTGCCACAACACGTACAGGACCTGGAGAATATTACCACAACACGTACAGGACCTGGAGAATATTACCTACGTACACGACCTGGAGAATATTACCACAACACGTACACGACCTGGAGAATACAACACGTACACGACCTGAGAATATTACCACAACACGTACACGACCTGAGAATATTACCACAACACGTACACGACCTGAGAGTACGACCTGGAGAATATTACCACAACACGTACAGGACCTGGAGAATATTGCCACAACACGTACAGGACCTGGAGAATATTGCCACAACACGTACAGGACCTGAGAATATTACCACAACACGTACAGGACCTGGAGAATATTACCACAACACGTACAGTACCTGGAGAATATTACCACACAACACGTACACGACCTGAGAATATTACCACACGTACAGGACCTGGAGAATATTACCACAACACGTACAGTACCTGGAGAATATTACCACAACACGTACAGACCTGAGAGACCTATTATTACCACAACACGTACAGGACCTGGAGAATAGTACCACAACACGTACAGGACCTGGAGAATATTACCACAACACGTACAGTACCTGGAGAATATTACCACAACACGTACACGACCTGGAGAATATTGCCACAACACGTACAGGACCTGGAGAATATTACCACAACACGTACAGTACCTGGAGAATATTACCACAACACGTACAGGACCCCACAACACGTACAGGACCTGGAGAATATTACCACAACACGTACAGTACAGGACCTGGAGAATATACAGTACCACCACAACACGTACACGACCTGGAGAATATTACCACAACACGTACAGGACCTGGAGAATGTACAGTACCTGGAGAATATTACCACAACACGTACAGTACCTGGAGAATATTACCACAACACGTACAGGACCTGGAGAATATTACCACAACACGTACAGTACCTGGAGAATATTACCACAACACGTACAGTACCTGGAGAATATTACCACAACACGTACAGTACCTGGAGAATATTACCACAACACGTACAGGACCTGGAGAATATTACCACAACACGTACAGTACCTGGAGAATATTACCACAACACGTACACGACCTGGAGAATATTACCACAACACGTACACGACCTGGAGAATATTACCACAACACGTACAGTACCTGGAGAATATTACCACAACACGTACACGACCTGGAGAATATTACCACAACACGTACACGACCTGGAGAATATTACCACAACACGTACACGACCCGGAGAATATTGCCACAACACGTACAGGACCCGGATATATATAACATTCACTAGTAAGATACATGAATGACAACACTCAGTAATTCAACAACTCTGTAACAACACTAGTTTCACTTAGGGTGTTTCCTGATGACCTGTTTGATACCATTAATCCTTAATTAATTGTATTTTTTTTATAGGTGAAACACCAAAACTGGGATGATAAACTACCCAGGGAAATACTCATAATTATTATCCTCAAATTTTGGTGAACACATCTCAGTTACATCCTCCTCCCTGTGTCACCATCCCAGCACATCACCACTACGTCACCAGCACAAACATTATGTAACTTCTATATTAAAGTATATTAGAATGTTTAAACTTGATGTGAGTCACGAGATTCAGCCAAAAGATAAAGTTTAATTGGTTAGTTATTTAGTTAAGTCTAATATAGGTCGTTAGAGGAAGTTATGAGACTATTACAACCCATTAATGTTAGTTAGTGGTTTACTGTTATTGGTGTGTGGTGGAGGAACACTCATACACCCACGAGCTGTGTCTCTCGTGTGTCAGTATTTTCAGTTCGTGGAAGAGATCGAGTTGGCTATTGAAGTAGCCAAGACGTTCGGTCTCCCTGTGGCCGCCAGCATGTGCATCGGCGAGAAGGGTTCCCATGACGACGTCAGCCTCGGTCAGTGCGCCGTCAGGATGGCTCGGGCAGGGGCAGACGTGGGTAGGTCTTGGTCACTGATGAGGAGAGTGAGTTACAGACTGTTCAAGTAAAATACACAATCTTTTCACTGATGAGCTGTGTCTAGCCAGAGTCTGCCTCATTTCCGGCATAATGCTCTATGGTGTTACTCCGACTCAGGGATACATGCACCATCAAAATACTGTGTTTGTTCAGTCCACGTGAAGGTACATCCTACACAGTTTAGTTTTCTATCAAACTCAAGATTTTGTAGTGTATTAAGTTAGTCATGTTGAGGGGGTGTCATTTATCGCACCCATCTTCACTCCCACAGTGGGACTCAACTGTCACCACGCCCCCATGACGGTGGTAGAGAACATCAAGACGATGAAGAAGGCGCTGCAGGAGGCGGGTCTGGAGCCCTTCCTCTTAACTCAGCCCTGTGGCTACCACGTAGACGAGGCAGAAAAGATGGGGTACCTGGAGATACCGGAGTACCCGCTAGGTAAGAACCTTTTCCTCGGTACCAATAGACTGATAGACGTAGATACCTTCTCAACAGGTGTTTGGTCAAGTGCGTTGGTACCTTGATGTTGACTAATTAACATAAACTCTTGTGTTTGTATCACCTGTGATCGTAAACCAACTCGGTCCGTCTCACAAGATGTTCCTGATCAAAGTTAGAAACAAAATAGAGGTTTTGGGGGAATTTAAAACACCTGTAACCATTAGGTACTAAGGTTAATTACCAGTCTAACCTTCCCTGGCAGCCATGGAGCCTCGAACTATTACACGCTGGGACTGTCACCGCTATGCCCGCGCTGCCTACGACGCCGGAGTGAGGTACCTGGGTGGGTGTTGTGGTTTCCAGCCCTACCACATCCGCGCCCTGGCCGAGGAACTGTTACCAGAGCGTGGGGGACGGAGGGCGCCCGCCATGGACAAACACTACCCCTGGGGCGGTGGCCAAGTCCATTCTTTCTTTACCATGATCCGTCGCAGGTGTGTGTGAGTGTGTGTGTGTGTGTGTATGAGTGTGTGTGTGTGTGTGTGTATGAGTGTGTGTGTGTGTGTGTGTGTATGAGTGTGTGTGTGTGTGTGTGGCTAAGACTTCCGTTTATATTCTACTCATGAAAAAAAAAATACTCATTTACCTCAATACAAGTTAAGTTTCCATTACAGTTAAACGAAATCTATTAATTCAGTATTTCTACTCACATTACATAATCATTCTATCAACATATGAGTAAGACATATATGACTCGTTAATATCTTTTATAACGCTGTTTTTATCACATAAGAACCAAAATTTGAAGAAAAAACTCCGTAATATAAGAAAAAATGAGAAAAAATATTATAATTGCAATCTGTCTCATGTAATGACCCTCAGATGTTACCAGGTGTTGGGATTGTGTGTGCAGCTGTACACGTAATGACCCTCAGATGTTACCAGGTGTTGAGGGGATTGTGTGTGCAGCTGTACACGTAATGACCCTCAGATGTTACCAGGTGTTGAGGGGATTGTGTGTGCAGCTGTACACGTAATGACCCTCAGATGTTACCAGGTGTTGAGGGGATTGTGTGTGCAGCTGTACACGTAATGACCCTCAGATGTTACCAGGTGTTGAGGGGATTATGTGTGCAGCTGTACACGTAATGACCCTCAGATGTTACCAGGTGTTGAGGGGATTATGTGTGCAGCTGTACACGTAATGACCCTCAGATGTTACCAGGTGTTGAGGGGATTGTGTGTGCAGCTGTACACGTAATGACCCTCAGATGTTACCAGGTGTTGAGGGGATTGTGTGTGCAGCTGTACACGTAATGACCCTCAGATGTTACCAGGTGTTGAGGGGATTGTGTGTGCAGCTGTACACGTAATGATCCTCAGATGTTGCCAGGTGTTGAGGGGATTGTGTGTGCAGCTGTACGTATTAATATGAGTTATATCTGACAGGTCGACGAGGGACTACTGGGAGAACCTGCAGCCTGCCACAGGAAGGCCCCGATCAAGTGCTTTCAGCAAGTGTGATACGGATTATACTGTAGTACTGGATTAATGCGTTAAGGTTCCTCAAGTGTTCCATTAGGTGTTCCATGGAGCAAAAGTGTTTCATTAGGTGTTCCATGGAGTAAAATTGTTCCACAAAGTGTTCCATGGAGCAAAAGTGTTTCATAAAGTGTTCCATGGAGCAAAATGGTTCCACATAGTAAATTTAAACACAAGTCCTTAAAAAAGAGGTAAAATTGTTCCATGATAAAATTATTATTCTTAACCAAAAAAATTTCACATTATTGTAAAACTGACAACATTTACGAACATTTTTCTCTGCATTCGAGTTTATCATTTAACCTTTCCTTCGGTCTCTCATTATCAGGTCCAGTGTAGTGTTGTACAGGTGTTAGTAAAACACCTGTACACCTACAATGCTGACCAGTGTAGTGTTGTATACTGTATTATTAAAGGTTGTAGTAGTATCATCACTTTGACCGGACGAGGATATATCGAAGACCCGTAGTATGATCGCTGCTGTGTGGTTGATGAGGGTGTTGTTGTAGCTCAGTATGAAGGCAACAACACATGCTCACAAGCTTCACACTGGTCAATACTTCAATATCCCGACACACACTGGGGATTAACCCGACACATACACACACACTCTCACTGGGGATTAACCCGACACACACACACACACACTGACACTCACTGGGGATTACACACACGACACACACACACACACTGGGATTAACCTGACACACGCACACACACTCACTGGGATTAACCTGACACACACACACACACTCACTGGGGATTAACTTGAAACACACACACACACACTCACTGATTAACCCACACACACACACACACACTCACTGGGATTAACCTGACACACACACTCACTGGGATTAACTTGAAACACACACACACACACTCACTGAGGATTAACCTGACACACACACACACACACACTGGGGATTACACACACACACACACTCACTGGGATAAACCTGACACACACACACACACACTGGGATTAACCCACCACACACACACACTGGGATTAACCCGACACAGACACACACACTCACTGGGGATTAACCGACACACACACACACACACTGGGATTAACCCGACACACGCACACACACTCACTGGGGATTAAGACACACACACACACACACTGGGGATAAACACACACACACACACACTGGGGATTAACCCGACACACACACACACACTCACTGGGGATTAACCCGACACACACACACACACACACTCACTGGGGATTAACTTGAAACACACACACACACACTCACTGGGATTAACCCGACACACACACACACTCACTGGGGATTAACCCGACACACAGGCGAGAAAAAGTGTATTGCCGCCTTTGTGACAATTGTTGATCAGTTTGAGTAGCACGAACATGGAGGTGAAGTCGTGGTTACTACTGGCAACTATAAAGTCGTCAAGTTCACCAAATTTTGAAGAAATGTATTTAAAGTTTTCAGTAATGATGAAGTAGTGATGTAGACTGTGTAGGGAGAGAGAGGGGGAGAGGGGAGGAGAGATGGGAGGGGAGGAGAGGAGAGGATGAGGGAGAGGGAGGGAGAGGGGAGGGAGGGAGAGGGGGAGGAGAGGAGGGGAGGAGGGAGGAGGGGGGAGAGGGTGGGGGACAGAGAGAAGGGGAGACGAGAGAGAGAGAGAGAGAGAGATGTTATTGCACATTAATAATATGCCGTGTTAATTATTTTAACAAATTTCTTTTCGATTAGTTTTTATTGTATATGAAGTCGATAGATATACAGACAAGTTATTTTTTTAAGAGTAAATATGTAACATGAGAGACACAAGTGTTATTGCACATTAATAATATGCCGTGTTAATTATTTTAACAAATTTCTTTTCGATTAGTTTTTATTGTATATGAAGTCGATAGATATACAGACAAGTTATTTTTTTAAGAGTAAATATGTAACATGACAAATCACAAAGACTCAAAATACCAGACATAGGTAAAGTAATCAGAGTAATTAATCGCTATTGTAGTAAGCTTACATTTTTATTAACAAATTTTAAGTTATATTTAACATTTTTCTTGGTCAATGAGGCGTAATTCTGAGAACATTAATAAATTATCTTACCTTGTCTATAGTGTATTAAACCTTTCCCCTATTATACTCTTTTGTTACCACCTTTCATGTGAACTGTTCCTTCTAAACATAAAGTTCTACCTTCTTTCCACATTTTATAACATTCACTACATTTTTCTCATTCTTGACATCTGAAATCTCTTCCATTATGAGAGACATACACTCACGGTAGAATACATCTTGATTATCTGATATAGATGAGGGAAATTTATTCTCGAGTTCTTATTTCAGTCGTAGAGGACAACAGTCAGTACTACAGTTGATGGACAGTCAATCTCCAGTAATATCTAATGAACTTTAAATGACGATGTACATAAACTCACTATCATTCAACATAGTACTGTACTGTATACGCCAAAATAAGCATTCAAAACATTCATATCACTCGCAGAAACAATTATAAACTTGTATCGAAGCCACGTACACACAGGGTATATATATATAGTCTCGTCATCACGTAATGCAGCGGGTCGTTCATCCAGTTATTAAATCTCTCAACGTTCCTCCTCGTCGTTCTTTGTGGTCTCATTTACCGTTCATTACTCTCCTTGGTTTCGCGAGTTCAGCGATCTCTTCGTCAGTTGTGATAGCGGTCTTCTGTTTAAGGGTGGAATCTCCTGCTGTCACGCCCCATTTGTCGGGTTGAGACATAGAGGAACAGAATGGTCGACCAGAGGAAGGCTTCAGTGACTGCCAGTATTCTTTGCTGGCTCTGTTTGGTGGGAAGACAGAGGGTTAGAGAATTTAGAACATAGTCTTACGAGTTCCTAGGTTTTAACTTAACGTTTTCTGTCTTAGAGAAACTATTGAGGTTGAGAGTTTGTGGAGGAAGAACTTTTGGTAGTTAGTAATGTGAGGAAAGTCTTCATGTATCAGTGAGTTACAAGATAAGGTGGTGGTGGTGGTGATAATGGTGAATATTATTGTGGTGATGGTGTCACTGCCTCAGAGATGACTTACCTGGCTCTGACCCATGGTTTAGTGTGCATCTTAAGGCCACCTGCCCACATATCATGTTTCTCTGAGGCCTTGGGTTTCCTTCCTCGCTCTGTGGCCAGTTCCTCAGCCACAGCCCTGATGTGGTAAGCCTCAAACCCACAACACCCTCCGATGTACCGCACTCCGAGATCGTAAGCTTCCCGGGCATACTTGTGCATGTCCCAGCGGGTGCAGATACGGGGCTCCAGACCTGTGGTGGAGACGGTGAAGATAATTTACACAGTCAGACGAAAACAAATGTATAGTAAATAAAAATGGTTGTTGGTTCCTTTAGGTAAACAAAAGAGGAGTTAAAACCCACACGAGACTCACCAAAGGGGAACTCCGGTAGGTCAATGAAGCCTTGTTTGTGGGCGTCTGGAGTGTGGAGGGCTAGAGGCTGAGCTATGAGGTGTACCTTGACCCCAGCTGCGTCCAATGCTGCTTTCATCAACCTCAATCCTTCCAGAGTCATGAAGGGATCGAAGTGACAGTTAATCCCCACTGTTGAGGAGGAATGGGGAGTAATTAGGAGTTAATTGATGTATGAGGAGTAAATATGGTGTTTAATTTTCTTAAATATCCTCTTGTATAATCTGCACCTCTAACACCCCGTGCACATTAACTACCCCGTGCACCTCTAACACCCCGTGCACATTAACTACCCCGTGCACACACAACCAACAACTCTAGTTTCCTTACCGACGTGAGCTCCAGCCTTGGCCATCCTGACGGCACACTCGCCCGCCGGGACACCGTGCAGGTCACCCTTTGGTCCTATACACATGGAGGCGACCACCGGCATCCCCGTCTTCACGCTCACCTCGATGGCCCACTCTATCTCCTCCACGTGCTCGAAGTACTGTAGCCGAGAGAAGAGGAGTACGTCTTAAACCTTGTTTTATCCTAGGGGGGTCATGTCTCCGACGCTTTATGCCTAGGAGGGACCTGTCTCCGACGTCTTAAGCTTAGGGGAGGGGGGTCCTTATCCCCGAGGTCTTCGTGCATGTCGTATAGCTGATATTGTTGTTAGGTACAGAAGCTATGAACTGATCTACAGACACACCCAGGTGACACCAGCCAGTACTGTATAACACAGTCGAGGATCTAATCTGTGCATCTTGTAGGACGGGGATTTAACCTATAGAGTTTAAATGGCATCTGGTGGTTGTGTTGACTATCCCTTTAGATGTAAACTTATCATAGACATTGTTTACCTACATTGTCTATATACATGTTGGATCAATGTAAACTTGTATGATAATTATAATTACATAAACAACCTATCTAGTAATCCTCAAGAGATTAAACTATAAGTGACTGAACTATGGTTGATGACGTCACAAAGTATAGACGCCAGAAAGAATCAGTACAGAAGGTGCCCGATGCCTTACCTCCACGATGAGAAAATCGACTTTATTTTCAACGAAGACGTCAACTTGCTTCTTAAACTCCTTCTGCGTGTTCTCCTTGCCCAGACCTGAGGAGAAATAGTGTCGTCTTAGCTGTGTGTGGCGATACTATCAATTATTTAAGTTTACCCTTCACTTTAGCTCTTGTTGAATCACAGAAAACGGAGAGGTAGGTGGGTGGGTGGGTGGGTGTCTGGGAGGGTAGGACAGTACTCACCAGAGAGGTAAGTTGGTGTCTGGGAGAGGCCCCCGGCTACTAGACCATCGCCCTCCTCAGCTACTTCCCTGGCCAGTCTACACGCGGCGTCGTTAATTCCCCGGCACTGTAAGAGAGAGTAAAGGTGATGGTGAGGTGGTGGTGGAGGGGGTGTGAGTTGGGGAGCGAGTGTGGGTAGTGATTAGGTAGGCGAGGTGAGGGAGGTAGGCGAGGTGGGGTGAGGGAGGAAGGTTGTAATGGAGGGATAATATGTGCTTGTTATTTACACATTTCATTTGTTTATAGAGACAAGTATTATATAACAACTCAATATTTAACATAAAACACACGAATCCAAACTCGACTTATATTGACAAACAGGTGAATTTATGACTCAAACAAACACCTGACTTTATGACCCAAACACCTGACTTAGGTTAGGTAACTACCGTGTATTTTTTGCTGGATTCATTGCCTCGGTTGGACAGCTTATCGTCTGAGGCGTAGAAGGTGAAGGCTTGCATAACGTCCGACCCCGCCCGCAGGAACTCCCGGTGTAGCTGACGAACTGCCGAAGACACCATCAGGTTATTAGAGGAGGTTATGGGGGGTGGGAAGGTTATGGGGGGTGGGAAGGTCATGGGGGAACATTATGGGGGTGGAAGGTTCATAATGTGAGGTTAAGTTAGGTTTTTAATAACATAACTTGAGGTCCCAGGAAACCAAGAGTAACCGTGAGATCCTAATATTCCTCCTTTCCTTCCTATTACACTTCCTCCTCCTGCCATACTTCTTTTTAGCACTACATATGCACGCACGCACACTACACATGCACACCACACATGCACGCACACTCACTACACACCACACACATGCACACTATACATATGCACTACGCAATATACACACACAAATACACACACTTCACACTCACTACACACACACACTCACTCACCAGCTTCAGGGTTTTCAACAGTAGCCTCAGGTGTCCAGGGACCAGCCTTAACGTAGCCTCTCTTCTCCAGGGCAAACACAAACCCTCCGTCACCAATCACTGGTCCTTCATCCAGCCTCTGTAACAAACCCTGAGCGGAGAAAGACACTGTTAGAGACCCACTGGAGAGAGAGAGAGAGAGGCGTGTGTGTCTATAATCCACTATTATATTTTTGGTCAAATGATTCTCAGAAACTTCAAGGAAGAGTTGTGCAAGACCTGGGTGGATAGCGCCACGAACATGTCAACACAACACTTGACCACATCTTCAACCTTGACACGGGTAAAATTGTAAACCAACTCTTACCAAATGTGCAAGTTATTGTGTAAATTTTGATACTAATATATTCTGTGAGGAGTGTCCACAAGGGGGTCTTACACAACACCGACCACGTGGAGAAACAATGAAGGAGTGTCAGTATTAGACGATGAATGGCACAAAGAACACTACGACTCCAATGATGTCGGTAGAGTTGTCAAAATCCTTCGTCTTGAGTCATATTATCTCGCAAAGTCGTGGAGATATTATTTAGAGAGCATAAAATAAGTCTCCTACTTGTCCTAAATATATATAAAAAATAGACTTGGTGTAATAATGAAGTACTTTGGCGAATATTAAGACTTGGTTATATTAGAAAAGGATATAAAAAAAGTAGAAATTGTTGCTCTTACAAGATTAATGGACTAAGGGAGTCGGATAAACAGACACACGGACGAGGCTTCACAGTGAGACAGTTATGATAAGATTGATAAGCAATAGAAGGGTTTTTATCAAGGGCTCATAACTGTTGTGTCTTTAGATCTGTCTGTATCGCTGTGTAAGGAAGTTTATAGTGCACTAATGATCCTACAAATCCGTGTCATTCCAACTTTGAATCACTACCATTCCAGGCGTTCCTCTGTACAGTAACTACCTACCATACCTGGACCATTCTTCCATCATTGGGTTGTTTGCTATATGTATTGTACAGTCAATTGGTAAAGACAGTTCGCTTCTCCTCCTGAACCACGAACCCCGAGATTCAGACTCATGAATCCGAAGCATTTATGGACAGAATAATGTATTAATCTACTGCTTCGGGTTCAAGAGTCTGCGTGGTTCAGGGCTACAGGTGAACGGTCTTTAGTAGTCGACTGTAAAACTTAATGTGGAACGCGAAAACAATTTTTTTTTCTTTTTTTACTACGAGGAAGCCAAGGTGTGTAGCAGCTTTGGCAGGGGATAGGGAGCTAAATCTGAGGCAGACGAACCAACGTGCTTGCCGTGTCAGGTTTGTATTACTCCGCGAGTGTCACATTCTGGGTGTAAAATGTCCACGTTAAGTAGTTAGGTTTACCGATATATAAATAATCGAGTTTATCATTCTGTTAAGAGTCAAATATGAGGAAAATGTGAATTTGGTGATATAATGATGAAAACTTACACACGAGAGTCAGTTAAGGGAATCCCTACTAGTGTGTGGCAGTAGAGAGTGTGAGGGGCGACTCTGGCGGTAACAATCCGCAATATTATTTTGTTCTTCCTTGCAACAACTGTGTGGCGTGGACACAATATAAACACAGCTTCTTTTCGTTTTATTTTATTCTCTCAATTATTGGGAGTGATATACTGTATCTAGTTGTGTTGATATCGGTGAAGAAAATACTGAATTGGTAGTTGTACGCTTATCCAGGTGGAAAGGGTCGTGTTTGGGTAGTACAGTAATGGGGTTTTAAAGGAGTACCCCGTCCCGTGACCCCCACCCCACCCGTCCCGTGACCCGTATCGCTCTCCCTCGACTCGACGATACTGTACAGGGACTCGGAACTAACCTTTGTATTACATGGACTCGAATACCTCATAGCTAACTACTATCAGTAATATCTAATGTTGAAATGCGTTCGCTTAAACTCGTGTCAATAGTCAAAATTAAAAAACAAAAGTAAATATCGTTGAGTGTAGGGTCCCCTGCCGGCCATCACAAGAACTAAATATATTCGACGAACTGATCCGCCATACAGTGAGGGCCTTCCTTCCTTCCCCCCGCGACAGTGTTAGTACAGAAGGAGACCGAAATACCCAGAGTGAACCGTATCATGTTCATGAGGGACACACGGGCCACGATATCTTCTCAAGGCCACAACACCTCAGGGTCACACGGGCCACAACACCTCAGGGTCACACGGGCCACAACACCTCAGGATCACACGGGCCACGCGACTTCCTCACACCTCATGTATGGTAACAAAGTTTACACTGTGTTATTCTGCCTCGACTCACCTTTTTCGGAGCCATGACGAAGTGTAGCTGTAGCGACCGCTTGTTGTTACTGCCTGAAGAGTTAGTGACAAGTGAGACGTTTATACCATTGCCCTGTATTTATAGTCAGTGTCCCCCCTCTCTCCCTCCCCCCCCACTTCCCCATCCAAACCCCCCTCCTCCTTCCCCCCCTCCCCCTCCCAGGTGTGGCTCTTAGTAAAATATTCTGTAGTTTGTGTTGTTTTTTCTTATAACTTCGGTCACGGTTGAGTGAAGTAGTTTAAGATGTCCACTTGTTTCTTGAGGGTCCCGTTGTGTTGTTTATACATGATGTAATATAAAGACTTTTCTGGACCCCATTTATTTTAGACTTGTTAGTTTATATTATGAGTTTTGTCTTCATCATCATCCTGTAGACAAAACATACGAGAGAGAGAGGTTATGTAGACGCGTTTCTTCTTCAGGGTTATATAAAGGTGATAATCCTGAAAGCTGTTAGTGGTGCTAAAATACCACAACACACACAAACAATGCTTCTTCATGTCTTTGTTTAAGTACAGTAATAGATTCTTGTATGAATAACATTATCTGATTACCTCCTCGTTATACCCATCAATATAACACTACAGGTGCGTCCTCCCCGGCCTACCTGCCCTCGGGACACCTGAGCTTATATTACCTTAATATATTAATGATAAAAAACTAATAATGAAAAAAGTCTTCATATATAGTGTAATTACTTCTGTGTGTACTGTATAGTTTCCTCACAGAAGTATGTTACTTTGTCCATCTTCAGTTTGAGACGCTGGACGAAATGCTTTTGATATGTATTGCATTATCGTGAACAAATGTCCCTTCCTGTAACGAACCACAGTGTGAGGCAGAAACTCCTGAGGGTGAATCAGTGAAGCAGGAGAAGGAAGTGTCTTGGTGGTCCCTCCTTCACCTGATTCGTTACAGGAAGGGACATTTGTTCACGATAATATACAATATATAAAGAGTGTAGCAACACAAACGATGGTTAATAAGCACCAGCTTATTTCACCTAAATAATAACCTAACCTAACCCCTCTAACTAGTATTAGGGTGGTTAATCTTCAGGTGAAATAAGCTGGGGTGGTGATTCTCCAGGTGTCCCTAATAATGTTTCGTAACTCGGCAGCCTGAGACTCGTCGCACCTCAGGCAAGTGGAGGGACATTGAGACGACTCCCAACGAGACAAACTTCTCTTCTCTAGGTAGTAGAGAACAGTTCCCCCACCACTCCCTCACTACACACAGCCTTACAGTATTTACCTATACAGTACGCTTGGCTCTTCCACCAGACTATAGATCAATTCCATTCTTCTGGCAACTAAGGAACCATGAGGCTTCTACTCAAAACATTACCAGACATCATTGCAAAACATCGATCACCGAGGTGTGGAAGACTCGCCCGGGGCGTATCAACATCATCTAAGTGTTACAACGATATAAAGTAAGTCTTGAGCTTCCATTTTGTTCTAATAATAACATAATATACTAAAGTAACTCTGGTAAATGATGTCAGTCCTCATGCTACTTGTGCAAGTTGAAATAAGAAGACAATTGATGACGACTGTGTTTGTCTGCCCCTCCCCTTTATTAGCCAATCAGCTGCCGGGACGTCACGCATCAGGGTACATAGTTAGCTGGTGCTTCATGATGTTTATATCTCAATAAACATTCTCTATTATTAATGTACAAAAAACACCGAAACTTAAATATTTATTAATCATCTTCAATTTATGTAGAAACGTTAAAAATGTCTAGTGTGCAACTTGATGTTTACAGCAGGCGTGTTTACCATTTAGTGTGTGTGATAACAGGTGATTGAAGGAGCCAGATATATCCAGTTATCTGCGGTATATACCGGTATATTAGTAACCCGTGTCTGATAACAAAGATGAACAGTACCACTACTTGTTTTAAGTCACGTAGGATCGATTTACTGTTTCTGAATGTGTCTGTGGTGGTGCGTGTGTCTCTTGAGTATATTCTGGGGAGTCCTTGAGGTCTATGGCTTGTAGACTTAGGTGTTTTTATAAATATTGTGAGGTGAATCTCCAGTCTTCATCCTCAGTCCTTGTTATCATCCTTCCTTTCTTCCTTCCTTCCTTCTAATCACTTTACTAGTCACTGGAACTGTTACATTTGTTCTTCATTCTGACCTTCATTGTCTGGTGTTAGTTCAAGATGGCCGCCTCTTTTATTAATAAGACACAAATTAATTTAGGAAGTCAGATCCAAAATAGCCGCCAAGAACCACAAACCTAACACAGTACTGCTCATAATATTATTTGGCGTGTTTTTGTTTTTTCTAAATATAAATCTTTGTTCAATTCAGTTCAATTTGTAATAAAATATTAACAATTACAATTTTGGGCAGCCATTTTGATTTATGGAGGCCATTTTGAATTTCCTTAAAGAAATCACCCATAACAACCAAACAATGTGAGATGAGTTTAATTTATTCTATTCTACATGATTATCAAAACACACCTACTCTCTTGTATTACAGCTACATAACATTACAGGTATACGACGTTACAGGTATCCATAACATTACAAGTATACATAAAGTACGAATTGTTACAGGCTCCAACTCTCACCATTTGTTTACTCTGGTTTTATAATGTTAATGAACAAACTATTCTATTATGTCGTTTGAAGAGAGATCATCACTACACGACTCATCACTACACGACTCATCACTACACGACTCATCACTACACGACTCATCACTACACGACAGACAGTTCCACTATCTTCATTATAACAAATACAACTGGAACAAATTAACGTAGAGAGAGCAACATTATTATAGCTGGCAGTGAGAGCACGGTACAGTATTATAGCTGGCAGTGAGAGCACGATACAGTATTATAGCTGGCATTGAGAGCACGGTGCAGTATTATAGCTGGCAGTGAGAGCACGATACAGTATTATAGCTGGCAGTGAGAGCACGATACAGTATTATAGCTGGCAGTGAGAGCACGATACAGTATTATAGCTGGCAGTGAGAGCACGATACAGTATTATAGCAGGCAGTGAGAGCACGATACAGTATTATAGCTGGCATTGAGAGCACGGTGCAGTATTATAGCAGGCAGTGAGAGCACGATACAGTCTTATAGCTGGCATTGAGAGCACGATACAGTATTATAGCAGGCAGTGAGAGCACGATACAGTATTATAGCTGGCGGTGAGGCATTTTTGATGTGCGCTGGCGGTGAGCACGGTACGGTGTTATGGCTGGCGGGCACGGTACCGGTCAGTATGGCTGGCAGTGGGTGATACAGTGTTATGGCGGCGGTGGGCATTCGCAGTATTATAGCTGGCAGTGAGAGCACGTACAGTATTATAGCTGGCAGTGAGAGCACGGTACAGTCTTATAGCTGGCATTGAGAGCACGGTACAGTATTATAGCTGGCAGTGAGAGCACGGTACAGTATTATAGCTGGCAGTGAGAGCACGGTACAGTCTTATAGCTGGCATTGAGAGCACGGTACAGTATTATAGCTGGCAGTGACCTTCAGTATGTCTTGACCCCACTCGTCTTGGCAGTGACCTCCAGTCGACTACATGCGTCTAATCAGGTTCTTATCTTGTAGTTTACATACGACTTACTGGACACTGTTATCTGTGAACCATGAGTCTGACGCAACCCAAGTTGACTGAGCATCTGAGGCCGACTGTGATGGTTCAGTCTCTTGATGGAGCTGTTGTCAGGGTGTGTTAGTTGTCACATCACGAGCAGATGCCAGACGAAGAATATGAGACGATTGGTTTATCATATTAGGAAAAAATCATTATGTTAACTGTTGCCAGCTCGCATCAACACACACCAGAAGCATTGTTGTTTGGTTGCCTCTTTCTGTGCGTGTAACTCCTTGATGGTAGTTCTGGGTCGAGGTTGTTGGTGTGAGACAGTTGTTCACTTTTCCGTCTTGGATTTTTCATTTAATTTTTCGTTTTTTTCTCTTTTTTTCGTTAAATTTACATATTATTGTATACTGTTTTTCCTTTTGTTGTCTGTTAACTTGAAGTGTTGAAGAATGTAGGAATATTTCACTGATCTGCTTCTGTCACTTGCAATATAATATGATTCCGAATAGTCGGTTTATAATAATAATAATAATAATAATAATAATAATAATAATATCCGGTTGTATTAAATAAATTCGTCAGGTCGTTTCACTTGTATAGTTATTAACTTGTTAGACGTATGACACCTGGAGGCTCTCGGGTGTGTGGCTCTACCCATCTAGACCCTTGCTCAATGTGTTCACCTCTCCACCCCTTACCTCTCTGCTCTACCCATCTAGACCCTTGCTCAATGTGTTCACCTCTCCACCTCTTGCCTCTCTCAGCCATAAACTGGATGGAAGCAGTTTTTAGTTTTCGTACCATTGATGTCTTCCCACGTTTAATCTTTTTAATTTTCGTCTTAAATAAGAAATGTTTACTAGACAATTTGAATTATTTAAAGATCACACACCTCAGTTTATTTTACCTGAAGATCAATCACCCGCACCTAACCTAACCTAACCTAACCTAACCTAACCACTCTTGGAATAAACTATGCAACAGCTCTCGATATCATGCATTTAGGGGTCATGGATGTAATATGGTGAGGTCGCATTAACAAGTTATTAAGGATGTTGCCTGGGTTGGTGAGTTCTGAGGTGACTAAAGAGGCCGATGCGGGACCGGCATGGTCGATCACTGATGTTGCACATGTGGGGGGCTACATCTAGTGCGGGAGGGGCGGCGGCAGCGTCTTTCCGGCGTTGGCGCTTGTCTGCCTCATTATGCAGTCAGGCTAACTCGAACAGGGCCGGATTCAGGAGTGGGCAAAGTGGGCAGCTGCCCAGGGGCCTCCACAATCTGGGGGCCTCCACATATTACAATATTTTATTTATTTGTTTATTCATTTGGATTATTTTTATTTTCATTCTTTAAAATTCACATGAATGACTCCAGTCATGTCTCACTTTTGTGTGTGTGTGTGTGTGTTGGGAATTTGTACACTATCAATAAATGTACAGTTAATTAAAAAATTCTCAATGTTCTAATTTCCTCAATATAACTGCATATGGCTTCAAAATTCTCCAAAGAAGTGTTCAAATTTCAAAAATTTCCCGGGGGGTTTACAGCGCCCCCCGGAACTCACATGTTTAGGCTCGCTTCACTCGCCACCCCACCCTCTTGGGTAGTCATAATGAGGGGGGCCTCCACAAAGAGGCTGCCCATGGGCCTCCACAGGTCTAAATCCGGCACTGATTCGAAAGTATTGACACCTTCTTGTGTGGTGCTCCTCCAAGCGTTACGGTGTGGAGTAGTCGTCTCCCAGGTGAGGGGGTCGATTTGGCACTTTTTCAGGTTTGTCTAAAGACTAACCATATACCTTTTCAGTTACCCGCCGGCGTTACGTTTACTATTCGTTAGGTGACTGTAAAGAAGCTGCTTTGGCAGTCTACTGTCGTCCATGCAGGTAATATGGCCAGTCCAGCGTAGTTGTTCATGGATAATGGTAGCCTCGATATTTCTACAGTTGGTGTCAGCAAGAATACTGGCATTTGTTCTCTTGTCTTCCCAGTGAACTTGGAGGACGGAACGTAGACTACGTTGGTGAAAGTTTTCAAGTGCCTTGAGGTGGCTCCTGCATGTGATCCATGTCTCGCTGCCATATAGCAGGATGGAGAGGACCACTGCTCGATATACGTGTAATTTTGTCGTTAATTTCAACTCCATACAGATGAAGACACGGTTTCGGAATCTGCCAAAGGTCTCAGATACACATCTGATCCGATGCTGAATCTCTTCATCTATGTCCGCGGTGGTGGGCAGGTGGGAGCCGAGATACCGAAAGTGGGTAACATTCGAGAGGGTAGTATCGTTAAGCTGGATGGATGGTAGAGGTGTGGCTGAACCAGGGGCAGGCTGAAAGAGAATCTGAATCTTACGTACATTCTCCTCAAGGCCAAAGTGTGCATGCGCATCTGCGTAGGTGTTCAGGAGCTCCTGTTGGTTGCGTTCAATGTGAGCAACAAGGGTGAGGTCGTCTGCGTACTGAAGTTCAGTAATGGAAGCTGCCGACACCTTTGTTCGTGCCTGGAGTCGTCTTATGTTGAAAAGGCCCTTCATCTGGTACTCGATGTCCACCCCGCCGGCTAAATTGGCACTGGCACGAGTAAGGAAGGCAGCCAATAAAATGGAGAGTTGGTGCCAGTACACACCCTTGTTTAACCCCCGTTTGGTTGGAGAAGAACTCAGACTGGGTGTCATTGTGCAGGACACTGTCGTTCATGCAATCGTGGAGTTGCTTCACAATGGTGATGAATTTTGGTGGGCAGCTAAAACGGCTGAGGGTCCACCAGAGGGCTTCCCTGTTGACCGAGTCGAAGGCCTTGGTTAGGTAATGACACCATACACCACATAAATTATTTTTCATGATTGATGGAATACACGAGACAAAAACTCCAAATACAGTCTAACCTCTATTTAACGGACTATATGGGAAGGAAATCCCGTTATATCGAGGATCCATTAGATATGAAATCCTCCATCTAACGGACAATATAGCGAGATAAATCCGTTATATAGAGGGTTCACATTTAATGGACTCAAGACAAACGGAATGTCCTCTCCATGTCGACCTTTGTATATCGTCAAATTTTCGCTATATTACGAATCACTGCTTGGAGATAATTGTGGTAACGAACAGAACTCCGGTGAATGATTATCTTCCTAACCAGTACAGAGCGGTTATATCCAGCTAATACTGCGTCGTACACTGACTCAGCGTCTTGTATGAAGTGTTTACATAAGATGACTGTTGCAGTGCTGTACTTGGTGGTATCTATACTGGACTGTATTTCCCAATTTTGATGTAACTCTACTCCTCTCAGTGTACCCTCCCCCCCCCCTCTCTCTCCCTCCTCCTCACCCTCTCCATCATACTCCCCGACCCTCACCCCTCTCTCTCTCCCTCCTCCTCACCCCTCTCTCTCTCCCTCCTCCTCACCCCTTTTTCTTTACGTAACGTTATCTTGTTCGTCTGGGGGATATACCACCACCACCACCACCACCACCAACAACAGCAGCAACAACAACAGCAATAATAATAATAATAATAATAATAATAATAATTATAATAATAATAATAATAATAATAATAATAATAATATCAGAAACTTTGTGAAGGTGAGATTTGGACACAACAGTAATTGAAAATCTTTGGTAATTATAAATTTTTCTTTTTTACTTTTTGACTCTTTATTTTGTTCAGGGCATAAGAGGTGGCGGGGTATGTAGTCCGTTAAACAGAGGTTTCACTGTAAGGGGCAACACAATCCTTGGCTATATTAGGAAGGGTAAAGTACCACGACAGGTAACATACAGGTAATAATGGTTCTATGTTATTGTTTGGTCAAGCAGGAGTTGTCCGGACACGGCAGATACGTTGATCATTGGAGGAGGCATAGCAGGAACCAGCATAGCCTACCATCTAGCGAGACAGGTAACGCAGCATGACTTATTGACATATTTAGCATGTGGTTAAAGACTGTAGTGAATTAGGACGTTTAGGGCAATTGACGTTTAGTTTGGGCTAGGGTGATTAAAACCTAACCTAACCTAACCTAACTCAATTGTATGTGAACCTAGTCAGTCCCATCACCTAGGTTAATTACGTACTGTAGGTGAAATAATCTGACAGGTTAATCTTCAGGTGAGCTAACTATTCTTGCATCTGTTTTAGCTAAAATTTATATTGTTCTCATGAGTAACCTCCCTCACTGTAACCCCCGTCACCACACACAGGGTCAACAAAGCGTTATACTCCTGGAGAAGTCAGAGCTCACTGCTGGGTCAACATGGCACGCTGCAGGACTCACCACTACCTTCCAGGGTGTTGTCAACTTGAAGAAGGTCCACTATTACAGGTCGGTGTGGTTCTGTTCTTGTATGGAGGATATGTTAATTTACTTCAAACTGAGGATATTAGAAGGTCTTGTTGTCTTACAAGATGAATGGTCATACTTTATAATAGACTACCAACCCAACCCAAGCCAAGCCAAGCCAAGCCAAGCCAGCCCAACCCAACCCAACCCAAGCCAACCCAACCCAACCCAACCCAACCAACAACCAACCAACCTAACCATCAACCAACCCAACCCAAAGCCAAGCCAAGCCAACCCAAGCCAACCCAACCCAACCCAACCCACTTTAGCCATGTATATATGCTTTATAACGTTACACCCACAAATTAGACATTATTTATCATGACCTACCAAAGAACTCATATATTAACTCTGTTTTCAGTCTCCACATGTATGCTCACATCGTACAGGAAACGGACCAAGAAATAGGTCTTCATATGCCCGGTTCTTTACGCCTGGCTACAACGCCCACCCGTGTTGATGAAATGAAGTAAGTCACACAAACAATCATTTTCTTACGTATGTTGATAGAGAGTTAATGTAGTTTTAACAAGTATAGATTCTAAATAATAATTGTATAGTATAATTTGTAGAAGCTGTTGTGAATAATGCTTATGAACGCAGAGGCTTATAATTGTCATGATAGTTACTGTATATAGTCTTTGTGTGTGTGTGTGTGTGTGTGTGTGTGTGTGTGTGTGTGTGTGTGTGTGTGTGTGTGTGTGTGTGTGTGTGTGTGTGTGTGAGAGATAATAAGCTTGTTTATTCTCAACTTACCTGAATTGTTGTACATGATTTATAACTCAGTTCAGAGGTTAAAAGTTGACCTGACATTCTGGACTCATAGACGCACAATAAACTTACCAACACACACACACACACACACACACACACACACACACACACTTTAATTCCTTAGTTGGAGGAGCACCTTAATACCAAACAACAACAACAACAACAACTTATAGTCTTGGATGTTAACATGTTTGTGTCATGTCTTGTGTGTTCTGTTCACTGGATAAATTTATATTAGGTACCAGATGTCCCGTCACGGCCACCACGACGCTCCACATTGTCTCCTCACACCGGAACAGGTTAAGGAGTTGGTCCCCATCGCTAATGTGGATAATGTAAGTGTTAATGGTGAGGAAGGGAAGAATAATTATGGACTATTTGTGATGGTATTAACAAGTTTCTCTTCATTTTATATAAGAAATATATTATACCTAGACACTTTCCCTATCAGTATTTTCATTATCAAAATATTAGACAGATAACATTGGGCATTTAACAGTTAACACAAATTAATATTTTATTATTAAGAATTTTGATAATAGATCTACATAATTGTGATATTTTTTTAATTTATATAATATTAATGCATGTATACTGAGCTTATGTGGTTACTGTTTGTAGAAGTTAATGTTTTATTTATCATACAGATTCTAATGGGTCTCTACAGCCCTAGAGATGGCCACGTGGATCCCTATTCCCTCACACAGGCTATTGCTAAGGGCGCTCGCAAGTAAGACCTTCCTTGTTTATACCTTGATCCGCTTTGATTGGGTCCAGATGCATCCTGTTTATAAATTGTGAACAAGTTTATTAATAAATTCAAATAATATCTGCAAAAACTATTATATTTTATTTATTGCTTAAGAATTTATTACCAAACTATTGAATTTTCATATTTTTTTCAACATTTCTCAGTTTACCAGCTAGTCAGGCAGTGAATGTACGTTCTCTTACATACTGTTGGCTCTGTAATGTACCTAACTCACTAGCTGAACATGTGCCACTGTTGTTCAGGTGTGGACTTAAAGAACCTTACACTTGGTACTGTCTCAACATTCTCTGGCAGGTTATTCTTAGGTTTCACAACTGTTACTCCAAAGACGTTATCTGTGACCTCTAGTGTGGCAGACAGCATTGGTAGAGTGAATATAATAACCTAACCATTCTGACAGCATAGTACTTATTAACCTCAAATACTGTCCATATTAATACTCATTTGTTCTATTACATAATCCACAAGATTCTACCTTATTAAAGTACATTATTAATTAGATCATTTACTGGTGGACAGATACGGGGCCCAGATCTTGCAAGGCACAGGAGTAACTGGTCTTAACCTACGAGAAGATGGTAAATGGGTCGTGACAACACCAAAGGGAGAGATTCTTGCTGACACAGTGGTTAATGCTGCAGGTGAGTGTGTGGTTAATGCTGCAGGTGAGTGTGTGGTTAATGCTGCAGGTGAGTGTGTGGTTAATGCTGCAGGTGAGTGTGTGGTTAATGCTGCAGGTGAGTGTGTGGTTAATGCTGTAGGTGAGTGTGTGGTTAATGCTGCAGGTGAGTGTGTGGTTAATGCTGCAGGTGAGTGTGTGGTTAATGCTGCAGGTGAGTGTGTGGTTAATGCTGAGGTGAGTGTGTGGTTAATGCTGTAGGTGAGTGTGTGGTTAATGCTACAGGTGAGTGAGTGGTTAATGCTGTAGGTGAGTGTGTGTGGTTAATGCAACAGGTGAGTGTGTGGTTAATGCTACAAGTGAGTGTGTGGTTAATGCTACAGGTGAGTGTGTGGTTAATGCTGCAGGTGGAGTGTGTGGCTATTGGCAGGTGAGTGTGTGGTTAATGCTGTAGGTGAGTGAGTGGCGATGCTGCAGGTGAGGTGGTTACTGCTGCAGGTGAGTGTGTGTGGTTAATGCTGCAGGTGAGTGTGTGTATTAATGCTGCAGGTGAGTGTGTGTGGTTAATGCTGCAGGTGAGTGTGTGGTTAATGCTGGAGGTGTGTGGCTATTGCTGCAGTGTGGCTATTGCTGTAGGTGAGCAACTAGGTGATGCTGTGTGGTGAATGCAACAGGTGGAGTGTGGCTAATGCTACAGGTGAGTGAGTGGTTAATGCTGCAGGAGGTGGTTAATGCAACAGGTGAGTGTGTGGTTAATGCTACAGGTGAGTGTGGTTAATGCTGCAGGTGAGTGTGTGGTTAATGCTACAGGTGAGTGGTTAATGCTGCAGGTGAGTGTGTAATGCTGCAGGTGAGTGTGGTTAATGCTGCAGGTGAGTGTGTGGTTAATGCTAGGTGAGTGTGTGGTTAATGCAACAGGTGAGTGTGTGGTTAATGCTGCAGGTGAGTGTGTGGTTAATGCTGCGGGTGAGGGTGGTTAATGCAGGTGAGTGTGTGTGGTTAATGCTGCAAGGTGAGTGTGTGGTTAATGCTGCAGGTGAGTGTGTGGTTAATGCTACAGGTGAGTGAGTGGTTAATGCTGCAGGTGAGTGAGTGGTTAATGCTACAGGTGAGTGTGTGGTTAATGCTGCAGGTGAGTGTGTGGTTAATAAGAAAGTGTAACCTCTGTGTTGTTTTTAATTTAATATTTTTTGTGAATTAAGAATAAATATTAATTAAGTTTCTAAACTTTTGTTAATATAAAGTGAAATTACTTTTTTAAAAACTATTTTATAACAATTCCAGGATTTTGGGCCAAAGAAATAGCAAAACTCGCCGGGTCAGATCTGCCTCTTATTCCCAACCATCATCAATATCTCGTTACATCAACTGTGCCTGAAGTGAAGGCCCTCAAGAGAGAGTTCCCTGTGCTGAGACACTTAGAGGGATCCTTTTACCTAAGAATGGAAAGGGACGGGCTGCTTATTGGACCTTATGAGTCTCCGCAAACTATGAGACAGAGTGAAGACTGGATGAGGAATGGCGTTACACCAGGTGACATTAAGCTTGAGTTTCAATTGGAAAGGTAATGTTTATAAAGAACACAGGTATATAATATAATCTTCCATAAACCTCACCTCAGTGCTGTAGGAAACTCACTAACACTCTTGATTCTCGTTCAAGGTTTTGGGAAGGAACTTTTTGAACCTGACTTAGAACGTCTTGAGCCTCACCTTGAAGTAGCGATGGAGTTGGTGCCGTGTTTCGCTGAGGCCAACATACAGAGTGTTGTCAACGGACCCATCACTTATACACCCGATGTGTTGCCTCTCGTAGGACCTGATTGGTTGCCTAATATGTGGGTTGCTGCTGGCTTTGGGTAAGACATATGAACGTGTGTCTAGGTATTGAACATTGCAGAAGGAGAAATCTTACCATTGACTACCATTCTTGAACAGCTAAATGCAACATGTTAGAGTATATTTAACTTTTTGTGTAGGAAGATATATATATACTTTAGCTTCCTTATGATGTAAAGGTTTCAGGGCATAATGCTAATACAACTTTTGAAGGCAAGACAAATTCTTCCATCACAAAACATTTACATGATCACAAAACATTAATATACACGATTAATTAACTATTGCTCACCTATCATCACAGGTATGGTATTGCACACGGGGGCGGCATAGGTAAGTATCTCGCTGATTGGATCATAAACGGACAGCCACCATTTGAGATGACGGAATGCGATCCTCTGAGGTTTGGCTCCTGGACGACGGATGATTATGTCGCAGTAAAGGCCAGGGAGGGTTACGGTATGAACAACGCCGTCACCTATCCACACGAGGAGAGATTTGCTGGTGAGTTACAGTGTCATATGTAGTGATGATGGATGGTGTTATATGTAGTGATGATGGATGGTGTTATATATGCAGGTATATTAATTCCCAGGTAGCAACAGTACCATACAGGTGTTACCTTAATTAACGGAATCCTAAAGCTATTTCAGGTACACGAGTAAAAGTTCATATTTAGGAATAAAGTGCAGGAGCAGTAAGTATCATAATGTGACAGGTATAGTGTACTGTGTATGGCGACCTGTGGTGCAATGGTCAGCATGCTCGCCTCACAAGTGAGCAGACCCGGGTTCGATCACCGGGCAGGGTGAAACTATGGGCAAGTTTCTTTACGCCGTTTGCCTGTCTACCCAGCAGTAATTGGGGATCTGGATGTTAATCGATTTGCGATCGTATTCTGGGGTAATGGTTAGCCAGTGCAGTTGGCGAGTTGTCCGGTCTTCTAGGATTATTCCTTGACACCGGGTCATGCAATTCGTTAACTCAGGGTGTGGTTGTTGTGTTGGCGACAGCTTCTACACCCTAAAGCATCTTAATTTTCACTCCGTCGAGAGACGTAGAGTGAGAGGCGATACGATCGACTTGTATAAATGGAAGTCAGACTAAACAAAGGGGACATTAAAAAGGTACTCAAACTATCCAGCCAGGAACGAACTTGTAACAATGGTTTTAAATTGGACAAATTTAGATTTAGGCGCGACAAAGGTAAACATTGGTTAGGAAATAGAGTAGTGGATGAATGGAACAAGTTACCAAATATCATCATCAACTCTAATACACTGGATAGCTTCAAACACAGGTTGGGCGGATATATGAGCGATAGGGGTTGGGTGTAAACAGGGACTGTCCAGTATGTTCTTATGTTGTTAATGAGTTACAGCTTGTTAATGAGTTACAGCTTGTTAATGAGTTACAGCTTGTTAATGAGTTACAGCTTGTTAATGAGTTACAGCTTGTTAATGAGTTACAGCTTGTTAATGAGTTACAGCTTGTTAATGAGTTACAGCTTGTTAATGAGTTACAGCTTGTTAATGAGTTACAGCTTGTTAATGAGTTACAGCTTGTTAATGAGTTACAGCTTGTTAATTAAGATATTGTCTACCTGGTACATTTGGCTTGAAGAAAAAGTTGTTTATCGTCACCTACTCTGCCGTATGAGGTGTGTCAAGTGGAGGGTAAACCTAACTATTTACTATGACAGCTGACTGTGTTTATTTTACCTGTTTTAAAAGAACTGCATTAATACCAACAGCTACCATAACAGATTCTTTATAATAGAGGCACTTTCTATAAATTTACACCTTTTTAAGATTTAGACAAAGTTAACCGAATTGGAAGATGGTAAATAGCTCCTATATATATTATTTTAATGGTATATAGCCATGCAAGAAGCCGTCATTTAATCAGGCAGTTATATTTCATCAAAAGTCTCGTCAGTTCATGTAAAGAATAGCAACATAGTGTGGATATCATAATAAACATCAGTTATTCCAACCTTTGTAATGGTTAAATCAGTGTTGTAGTTTTATGTTCTTATGACAATTATTTGGTTATTTTGGTCAACTTGTATAGTGGTCAATGGCGAAGGTAAAGACAACAAAAATAACTCGTAAACAATTTAATTACTCCTGTGTTATTTTTTAAGAGGATTCATGATAACGTTGGTGTGATGTTAGCTAATGTTTATAATATCATGATGCGGTACAGGTCGGCCCACAAGCAGAGTCTCGGGCGCTCATAGCATCCTGGAGAGTCGAGGTGCTTGTATGCAGATCCACAGCGGGTGGGAACAGCCAGCTTGGTTCACAACACCGGGAGACAAACCTGAGTATTGTCCCAGCTTTAGGAAGTAAGTAAGACTAAAATATAACCAACATTATATTAAGTTTTCAGAGGGAGCCGAAATACTCAAAGAAACCCTGTGATATTTGTTATGGTTACACTGTATCATACCCTTTACCCTTCTCAGCTAACATGAGGATTGAACCTAGTGAGTGACAAGCATGTTATCTCTGTGCCACCAACATCCAGAACTAATGATAACTGTGGAATGACTCAAACCATGGCCCTGATGAGACACCGTGCCTAAAATCAGTATCTTAAACCACTCGGCCACTTTATTCTTTGTTTTCCTTATACTGTAACACTAATTTCATATCTACAGACACATTTTTTTTATACTGCATCTAGAAAACTGAGATGGTGAATGACTTGTTGTCTTAAGCGATCTATCATTTATTCTCAGTGCATGAACAATATGTATAACGAATTAGCTACAGCAGTTAACATATAAGTATTTTGATATTAAAAGTTATTTACGTGAACTATTATGATATAGACGATGACTTCAACTATATTTCCAGAACAAATTGGCACGAGGCAGTGGATAAGGAAGTGAATTTGGTGATGACCTCTGCTGGGATCATTGACCTCACGCCATTTGCTAAACTCATCGTCCAGGGTCCCCAAGCGGCTGAATTCTTGGATTATGTGACAGCAAATAGGTAAGTATCTTCTGTTAGTGTCAACTGATGTGGCTGGATAGATCTAATAAGCAACTCTATACAAGTTACAGTAAGAGTTAGACTGAGGTGACCAAAGCTGTGGTAATTCAACAATAACTGGAGGGAATCATCGACTCATTTAGCAGCGTCGTACACAATTGATAATATTTCATAATTTGATTTATTTCAGAAAAAAATAACTATTTTTATTTACGGTAATTTTGCTGTCGAGTTTGGTTTGGATTCATGTACAGTCATCCATAAAAGTCCTATCTGCTCTCCTGAACCCCAAGATTCAGACTCATGAACCCGAAGCAGTAGACTGATACGTTATTCTACCCATAAATGCTTCGGATTCACGAGTCTGAATCTCGGGGCTCGTGGTTCAGGGGGACTAAGGAGACTATACAGGGTTACAGTTCCTAAGACATTCTCTATTTTCTGATAAAGGAGCAAAATAAATATTGTACATTAACAAGATCAAAGATGCTGTACCGGACTAATATACACAGAGGCTTTGTACCATAGTCAAACCTCCAGATAACGGACTTACCTCTCCATATAGTCCGTTAAATAGAGGTTTCACTGTAGTAATCTTTGTAAAAATTTCTGGGTTTGTGTTTTCAGTGTGCCTCGTGTAGGACGGACAGTGATCACGCACCTGCTCTCTCCCTCTGGTCATGTGTACGCTGAGTTGACAGTGAGCAGGACCTCCCCACAAGCCTTCCTCATCATCACCGGGTCAGGTGTAGAGCTTCATGACCTCAGGTAACATTACAAAGCTTATATTGAACAGGTAAAATAACATAAAGTTTACAATACAACCAAGCTTATATTAACATAACATAAAGCTTACATTAACATCACACAAAGCTTAAATTAACACTAAGCTTACATTAACACAACATAAAGCTTACATTAACATAACACAAAGCTTACATTAACATAAAGCTTACATTAACATAACACAAAGCTTACATTAACATAAAGCTTACATTAACATAACACAAAGCTTACATTAACATAAAGCTTACATTAACATAACACAAAGCTTACATTCTTATATGTTAAGTGAAAATATCAGATCTAGTACAGTATTGTATACCTGATAATACAGTAGTTTATTTTATTCTCATTATTAATCCCAGAAAAAAATAGAGATTGATTTATATAATATTTTCCTACAAACTAAAGTAAAAAACTAAACATTGTGTAGCTATAGTAGAGTTACATAGCAGAGTTATATAGCAGAGTTATATAGTCGTAGTTATATAGTCGTAGTTATATAGTCGGAGTTATATAGGTAGTATAGTTGAGTTATATAGTCGGAGTTATATAGGTAGTATAGTTGAGTTATATAGTCGGAGTTATATAGGTAGTATAGTTGAGTTATATAGTCGGAGTTATATAGGTAGTATAGTTGAGTTATATAGTCGTAGTTATGTAGGTAGTATAGTTGAGTTATATAGTCGTAGTTATAAAGTAATAGAGTTAGGATGAGGTAATAGATAACTCGGACACATATATGGATTAATAAACATGGAAGGGATATATTTAATGTATTCCTTACAGGTGGCTGGAGGATTACGCTCGACGAGGAAATTGGAATGTAAGTTTTGCCAACGCCACAGAAGACCTTGGCTGCCTGAGTGTTGCTGGTCCCAAGTCTAGAGACATTCTTTCCACTCTGTCTCCACAGTTCAAGGACAAGTTCCCTTTCTTCTCTTGCAAGGAAGTAAGATATTAAGCTTCATGTGGGCTCTTTTAACTGTTTTGTAGACATTTTTTAAGGTCTACATCATGTTCAGACTTCTTTTCATTAAACTTACACAGGAAATTATTATTATTAAAGCTTTTGAACTACTGTAGTGACTTCATCTATTCAGTCACTCGTATTATTATTTGTTTTCAGAAATTTGTCAGTAAACTTCAGTGGCTGCCACCAGTCAGTTCATAATACTTTTTGGGGGCTAGATTCTGACCTTATGCTTTGAATGGTTCACGCTCATGGTAACTAAGGTAAAGAGAAGACAGTGAATGCAATTTGGTATCGTCAAAACTATAGTTACCTTCTGAGCAGAAACACTCGAAAAGGTTACATTATAAATATCAATGTTCACTAAGTGTTAATTACATCATTATTTACAGGTAACACTGGCTGGCGTCAAGACCACAGCTCTGAGACTCTCATACACAGGAGAACTTGGCTGGGAACTTTATCATCCACGATCAGAAACTGGTCACCTCTATGAAGCTCTTCTGGACCACGGCCGAGAGTTTGGTGAGTGACGGAGTACTTTCTAACTCCTTAATGACAACAGATTAACCCCTAGTGTATGGGCTACCTCCCCTCTGAGGTGAATAAATCCGTCTAGTCCCAGTAAAACAAAACTTCAAAACTGGTGTCCTCCGTAGGCAATTGAATTACAGTCGATGCATCTGTGAAGCCATGTTAAAGGGCATGGTAGACCAAAATAAAATCACAGGACAGGTCACTAAGAGCCCGGGTAGGTGGATGTAAACTTAGTAGTGAACAGGGACGCCACCATCACCAAGCAGTGTTGCTAACCAATACCATAACATCCAATCACAGACAACAGGACACAGTTGAGTAAAACCTTTCAATAAGATAATAATCTAACAAAATATAGAGTTGGTTCTGGCTCCTTAAGTTCTGTTTATACAACCACAAGATCCTCACAGGGAAGATTTATACTACATTATTATTATTATTTTACAACAGGTGTGGGAGACTTTGGCACCTTGGCACTGAATGTCTTACGTCTTGAAAAAGGCTTCAAGATGTGGGGGGCAGAGATGAACATGGACACCACTATAATGGATGCTGGACTCATGAGTTTTGTCAATATGAAGAAGGTAAACAAAACAACAGACTTTAATGTGTGGATAGAGTTATATAGTAACTCATGACAGGTGATGCAGTAACTCATGACAGGTGATGCAGTAACTCATGACAGGTGATGCAGTGAAGGTTGACGTTGATAGTGATGAGATTGGACACTGGGGATGTCACTCCAGATGTGTGAAGGGCTTTGAGAGTTACAGGAGCCACTCTTTACTATACACTATGAGGAGTCTTCTTTAAAACATGTGTTGGCAAGTTGTCTTATCGCCATTAATACACTGTCAGTATTTAGATAAATAAGTAACAGGTTATTTCCAATTAGTATCTCAATCCAGTACATTACTTACCTGCATCTATGTATGGTACAAGTGAATATAGAGCTGTACTCGTAATAAAGTCAATTATGCATTGTCACAGTCATGTGAATCTATAGTAGTGTAACTCTTTGTAGGATGTGCAGCACTTTGTAGGATGTGCAGCACTTTGTAGGATGTGCAGCAGCACTTTGTAGGATGTGCAGCACTTTGTAGGATGTGCAGCACTTTGTAGGATGTGCAGCACTTTGTAGGATGTGCAGCACTTTGTAGGATGTGCAGCACTTTGTAGGATGTGCAGCACTTTGTAGGATGTGCAGCAGCACTTTGTAGGATGTGCAGCACTTTGTAGGATGTGCAGCACTTTGTAGGATGTGCAGCAGCACTTTGTAGGATGTGCAGCACTTTGTAGGATGTGCAGCACTGTAGGATGTGCAGCACTTTGTAGGATGTGCAGCACTTCTTTCTTTCCTCTAGGGTGAGTTTGTAGGACGCACAGCACTTGAACACCTTCAGAAGAGCCGACCTCAGCGTCATCTTGTACAGGTGAAGATCAACTCACCTGAAGTTGATCCCAATGTGAGTACTGTATAACGCTATTGTGGTTTACTTCATGACATATTGTTACCAGGTGTGAGTCTTATTAACTAACCTGTAAGTTTAGTCTATTAACATTACTATTATAACATTATTAAACCTTCAAGAAACTCAATTGTTATAAAGAAACATCAATATAAACTTTAACAAATATTAATGTTATTAGATGTATTTAATGATGATGGTCATAATGGAACTCTAAACAAGCATTAACGACCGTATCTATTGTGTGTGTACCAGGGTGACGAGACGGTCTGGCTGGCAGGGAAGGTCGTCGGCAACACTACCAGCGGATGTTTCTCTTCCCATCTTGGTCAACCTTTGGCTTACGTTTACCTCCCTCCGCTGTTGGCCGTTCCTGGGACACAAGTGCAGGTATACGGCAATACTCTACTCTACTCTACTCTACTCTGCTCTACTTTACTCTACTCTACTCTAATCTACTCTACTCTACTCTACTCTACAAATATTAACTCCTTCACTACTGGGAAGCCAATTTTAATATTTTATTTAGCTAACCCCAGACAATTGTATTCAGCTCAGAGAGGACCCCGTACTTAGGTAACTTATAGACTATTTCTACTAAAATACCAAGACAACTTTTAACAATATTTTTCATCTCAGAGACTCATGGTGAAGGTGTATGATAATTGGTGATAATAACTACTCAAAAACCACATCTAACATCAACAGGTGGAGCTTCTTGGTGACCTCCATGACGCAACTGTGCTTTCTGAGCCTCCCGTCCTGACACACACGGCCCGCGCCAAGGTGAAGCAGTAACACCGAGGATAAGGACTCAGGCGTTTGCAAGACTCCAGTATCTTTTACAACATTTTTTACCCTGTTAGGTCTATGTAATGTTGTGATGTTTTTTACCAGTGAATAAATACTTAAGAGTTAATCATAATGTGTTAGTTTTCTTGTTATTGTATAGACCACGGGAAGTAGACTCTCTCTCTCTCTCTCTCTCTCTCTCTCTCTCTCTCTCTCTCTCTCTCTCTCGGTGCACTAACAGAGCCAGGGTAATCTAACACAGCAACCCCGGGTACACTTCACACAGCAACACAGGGTACACAGACACAACAACACAGAGCCAGGGTACAGCAATAAAGCAACACAAGGTACACTTAACACAGCAACACACCCAACACAGCAACACAGGTTACACAGACGCAACAACATGAACTGCCTTAATGACCTGAGAAGAAAGTCAATATAAGGCAACACACAAGACGCGTAAGATCACTTCATCTCCTCGATTTACTGTGAGTAGAAATACAACTTTATACACTAAACCAGTTGTTGTTGTTGTTGTTATGTTCCTCGAGGGGGTTGTTATGTCTAACTGGTATTAAGGAGACTCATATACTAACTAAATGAAGTTATGGAGTGAATTATAGAAGGTAACAATCCTCATTTAGACGAGTCAGGTATCTCAGCTCCTGCGGATGTAACAGTAATGATAACAAACGTCAGTCTGGGAATGTTTTGTCAGGACAGACTCTTGTCAGGCTTTAATAAATGATGCAGCAGGAGATATAAGAAAGTCCTAATTATATCACATTAGTAAACAAAGTTAGTATAGAAGATCAGCCCTAAAGGAGGACATTATCGTGAGTGAGGTCAAGTTAAGGTCGGACCAGACCAACACCCACCGCCCCTCTGTAATGATGACACCACCAGCGGATGCCAGGATATCACCCAAGCATATCATTGAAAGCCGGGCAGTGAGGTGCAGTAGCAGTCATACTCCACAGCGTCTAGGGAGTGTGTCAGTCACCGCTCAAATATTCTGTCTTCGGGTCTGCTGGATTTTGCGTTCCCGAAGAGAGGTCATGGCCAAATGTACTGCCGAGGTTGAGTACCCGGAATTAGTGACTGTCTCCGCCGCTCTCAAGTGTATTATTAGCTTCTTCGGTACTTTAGGTGAGTGTTGGGGGTGTGGTGTAGAGTGTGTGTGTGTGTGGTGTTGGTGGTGGTCTAGTGTGTGTGTGTGGTGTAGAGTGTGTGTGTGTGTGGTGGTGTGAGTGTGTGTGTGTGTGTGGTGTGTGTGTGTGTGTGTGTGTGTGTGTGTGTGTGAGTGTGTGTGTGGTGATGTGAGTGTGTGTGTGTGTGTGGTGTGGTGGTGTGTGTGTGTGTGTGTGTGTGTGGTAGGTGTGTGTGTGTGTGTGTGTGTGTGTGTGTGTGTGTCTGTGGTGTTGGTGGTGGTGTGTGTGTGTGTGGTGTTGGTGGTGGTGTGTGAGTGTGTGTGTGTGTGTGTGTGTGTGTGTGTGTGGTGGTGTGGTGTGTGTGGTGTTGGTGGTGGTGTGAGGTGTGTGTGTGTGTGTTGGTGGTGGTGTGGGTGTGTGTGTGTGTGTGTGGTGGTGGTGTGAGTGTGTGTGTGTGTGTGTGTGTGGTGTGGTGTGTGTGTGTGTGTGTGTGGTGTTGGTGGTGGTGTGTGTGTGTGTGTGGTGTTGGTGGTGGTGTGGAGTGTGTGTGTGTGTGTGTGTTGGTGGTGGTGTGTGTGTGTGTGTGTGTGGTGTGGTGTGTGTGTGTGGTGTGTGGTGGTGGTGTGAGTGTGTGTGTGTGTGGTGTGGTGTGTGTGTGTGTGTGTGTGTGGTGGTGTAGAGTGTGTGTGGTGTTGTTGGTGGTGTAGGTGTGTGTGTGTGTGTGTGGTGTGTTGTGTGTGTGGTGGGTGGTGGTGTGGTGGTGTGTGTGTTGGTGGTGGTGTAGGTATGTGTGTGGTGCTGGTGGTGGTGTGTGTGTGGTGTCTGTGGTGGTGTGGTGTGTGTGGTGTGTGTGGTGTTGTGTGTGTGTGTGTGGTGTGTGTGTGTGGTGTGTGTGTGGTGTGGTGTGTGTGGTGCAGGTGGTGGTGTGAGTGTGTGTGTGGTGTGTGGTGGTGTGTGTGTGTGTGTTGGTGGTGGTGTGGTGTGTGTGGTGTGGTGGTGGTGTGGGGTGTGTGTGGTGTCTGTGGTGTGTGTGTGTGTGTGGTGTGTGGTGGTGTGGGTGTGTGGTGGTGGTGTGTGTGTGTGTGTGTGGTGTGGTGTGTGTGGTGTGTGTGGTGTGTGTGTGTGTGTGGTGTGTGTGTGGTGGTGGTGTAGGTGTGAGTGTGTGTGTGTGGTGTGGTGGTGGTGTGGTGTGTGTGGTGTGTGTGGTGGTGTAGAGTGTGTGTGTGTGTGTGTGGTGGTGTGTGTGTGTGTGTGCTGGTGGTGTGTGTGTGTGTGGTGTGGGTGTGTGTGTGTGTGTGGTGTCTGTGGTGGTGTGGGTGTGTGTGTGTGTGGTGTGTGTGGTGGTGTGGGGTGTGTGTGGTGTGGGTGTGTGGTGTGGTGTGTGTGTGTGTGTGGTGTGTGTGTGTGTGTGGTGTTGGTGTGGTGTGGTGTGTGTGGTGTTGTGGGTGGTGTAGGTGTGTGTGGTGTGTGGTGTTGGTGGTGTAGAGTGTGTGTGGTGTGTGTGGTGGTGGTGTGGTGTGTGGTGTTGGTGTGGTGTGTGTGTGTGTGTGTGTGGTGTTGGTGTGTGTGTGTGTGTGTGTGGTGTGTGTGGTGTTGGTGGGTGTGTGTGTGGTGTGGTGGTGTGTGGTGTGTGTGTGTGTGTGTGTGGTGTCTGTGGTGGTGTAGAGTGTGTGTGTGGTGTTGGTGGTGTGTGTGGTGTTGGTGGTGGTGTAGAGTGTGTGTGTAAAATAACAGTTCCATTGTTCATCGTTAATCACTTTAATCACAGATCAATGCTCTATCAATTCTCCATTAGGTAACTCATCATCAACAAATAACTCTTCCGTAATTCATCCTCACACTAAGTCACCTAACTCACTCCTTCCTTCATCATCATCTCCAACAGGTAACGCGACCAGCTTATGGTGTTTGGTTCAGTGCCGGAAGACTAACCCAGCGGTGAGGATACATCTTGTGTTCGTCTTCAGTGTTTTGCTGGGCATATGTCTCATCACCCTCCCTGGCGTTACCTTCATCAACTACATCAGCGCCTTCTGTAAGGTGGAGTCTGTGCCTCAGGGTCTTCGTATTTTCTTCTCCATCAGTAATTCTGTACTTCTTCAGATCGACAGGATAAACTTTACCGCCATCGCTGGATTTAAGTAAGTCTGATCATGTGTTTAAGTCATAGGGTTATCATCTAAAACCTTGATGTTGTTATCTAAGGCTTGAGGTTGTTATCTAAGGCTTGAGGTTGTTATCTAAGGCATGAGGTTGTTATCTATATATCAAAGACCTTTCTATAATCATAATGTAAATAAAGATAGTGGACTTGAATTGTGGGAGGGAGACGAATTTTAGTAATGGAAAATAGATGAAGTCTTGAGTAGTAAGGTGGTCACTGTAGTAAGGTGGTCACTGTAGTAAGGTGGTCACTGTAGTAAGGTGGTCACTGTAGTAAGGTGGTCACTGTAGTAAGGTGGTCACTGTAGTAAGGTAGTGTCACTGTAGTAAGGTGGTCACTGTAGTAAGGTGGTCACTGTAGTAAGGTGGTCACTGTAGTAAGGTAGTCACTGTAGTAAGGTGGTCACTGTCACTGTAGTAAGGTGGTCACTGTAGTAAGGTGGTCACTGTAGTAAGGTGGTCACTGTAGTAAGGTGGTCACTGTAGTAAGGTGGTCACTGTAGTAAGGTGGTCACTGTAGTAAGGTGATCACTGTAGTAAGGTGATCACTGTAGTAAGGTAGTCACTGTAGTAAGGTGTCACTGTAGTAAGGTGGTCACTGTAGTAAGGTGGTCACTGTAGTAAGGTGGTCACTGTAGTAAGGTGGTCACTGTAGTAAGGTGGTCACTGTAGTAAGGTGGTCACTGTAGTAAGGTGGTCACTGTAGTACGGTGGTCACTGTAGTAAGGTGGTCACTGTAGTAAGGTGGTCACTGTAGTAAGGTGGTCATTTATCGTACAGGATGATCGCTGTGTTCAGTCCCCATCGTTACCAGAGTGTGACTAAGCTGATGGTAGTTGTGTTGGAGGTGTTCATCTGCACCTACGCCCTTCTTCCCTGGCTCTTTGGTATATTCCAGGTATGTTCTCTTAATTAACAGGTGTGTGTGTCTAACCTAACTTAACCTAACTCACCAGATAGCGTTAGGTGTGATTAATCTTCACATGAAATAATCCGCGGTTATCTAATCAGCAGGTGATCTAACTATTTTACCCAATTAGTCAAGTTAAGATTCCCAAAACTCCATACAGAGCCTTGACCCTTCCAAGTTATTAATCCTGTACCTGTAACTAATTCCTGTGAAGGTGTGTTGGGTTGAGGTGAATATACATAATACTACAATATTCTAATTTTAAGTTATACAATGTTTTTTTTTCTATTCAAATTTTACACTATACATTTTAGTTTGTTTTATTCGTCTTATTTATCCTCATTTGACTTATTTCACTCTTTTGTCAAGGATTTCCAATACGCTACCTACAACGGTCGATTCATGGCAGTGGACTTTGGTCATAGAAACTCAACCCTCAATAATGTTATTTACATCTGGTACGGCGTGAACTACTGTCTGCCGTTCCTGCTTACTCTTGTGGCTTACCTACTGATGACAGCTTCGGTGAGTACGAACATTATTGAGTGTTAGTGATTCGTCTGAGTGTTTAGTGGTTCAGTGTTTCGTCTGAGTGTTTAGTGGTTCAGTGATTCGTCTGAGTGTTTAGTGGTTCAGTGTTTCGTCTGAGTGTTTAGTGGTTCAGTGTTTCGTCTGAGTGTTTAGTGGTTCAGTGATTCGTTTGAGTGTTTAGTGGTTCAGTGATTCGTCTGAGTGTTTAGTGGTTCAGTGATTCGTCTGAGTGTTTAGTGGTTCAGTGATTCGTCTGAGTGTTTTGTGGTTCAGTGTTTCGTCTGAGTGTTTAGTGGTTCAGTGTTTCGTCTGAGTGTTTGACAATACACTAATGATAAACTTTGCTATCTGCATCACTGACAATTGAACACAAACCTGGAACATTAGGATGATAATAACATAACATCCGGCCCATGAAGTTAAGGACCACCGCATTGTCTAAATCATTGTTCTCATCTGTAATTAGCCTCAATAGGACCATCTCAAATATATGTTTTTTAGATTCAGATTATTAAACATAGATTAGTGAAATAATCAATGTAAGATGTGTCGATTACCTTACAGATGATACACCAGAAACAGAACCTCGGGATGTGTGCTGTGTCTGCCTCAACTATGGACCACGTCACTTACACCCTCCGAGTCGTCCTCCTGACCAACCTGGTGCTCGATGGACCTCACGTTATTGTCCATCAGCTGCAGGAACAGAGACTGGCCTCCATCATCACTCACATGATCTTTTACCTTCACCTTCTGATTGATCCATTAGTGTTTGTGGGTCTTAATCTTCACTACCGACGTCTTCTACTCCGCCGCCTGGCCAAGTCCATCCCGGCAGCTTTCTCCGCTTACCTCGGCTTATCATCCTCTGCTAGCGACGACAACGAAGTCGGGGACACTCCACTGAAGCCACTATCTAACTCTCTGGAGCAAGTTGACAGATACAAAGCGTGTGAGAGCACAGTTAACTACACTTACTGAGGTCTTGATGGCCGGCCCTCTCTTCGACCACAGATTCTCTCCTATACTTGTGGAAGGTTGACTGATTACATTGTGAATTCTAAAACATGGACTCCAGCAACACAGCTTGTATAATTATAATATTGTTCTTTGTATACACCAATTGTTTTCTTAGATTTTAGATAACAATAAACTAATGTCGATATCAAACCTAACCTAACCTAACCTGTGTGATTTCTTCAAAACTTAACGTTTAAATGTCAACAAGGATGTTTTACAATATGTTTACAATGTTTGTATCCATATATTCAAAGTGCTCAAAGTGGCCACCACCACGCCACGCCGCCCACCAGTACTCATTAATGTACTATTGCCTCCACATGGACGTACTCAGCACCGTCGTCAGTGCTAAATGAATGGCCGCGAAACAGTAAAATTGCCCTGTTTGTGATAAGATACAAACAGTAAAGGCGGTAAACAGATAAACGAATCCTGCAAAATATGTCATGCAGCAATGTTGTGTAGCCACGACCGAGTGACTAACTTTGAATTACGTGGAACCGTCAAACAGGGTAATCCATGTTCACTCCCATGACTACGGAGCTGCCCTGCCACATCTCGTAAATGTGGCCCCACACACACCTAGGCCGTGGAGGCAACTGTACTTATGAAAGAGTTCTCTTGTTCACATGCTGTACACTCGGGGCACCAGTGAACAAGTGCACAACATAATCAAACTAACAACACTGTAAAGCTACACACCATCTATACTGGTGGACTAAAACACTTCTCATCATTCTGGTGTTGACGTTCTTTACTGTTGTAACTGATGGTGTTCGAGGTCAAGGACTTGTAAGTGATGAGGTGTAACTGTGGCTCACGCGGGAACCCTGTGAGGTGCAGGCGTAGAACGAAACTGTCGTGTATTAGTTAAAGTTTATCATGCCTGGTGACTTACTTGTCTCATATCTAAAGTCTCTTAACTTCCTGGCAGTGAAAGAACGGAAGCCCCTCTGTATGAATGAGTGTGGCGAGAGTAGAGTGTGTTGTAGCTCACACACTTACTAAATTATGAACCGCAGTTATAAATTTGTTGAATATACTTACAGACTCATGTATTTGTGTACAAAGATTGTTAAAGAAATCCGTAACTTTATTAAATGACAGTGAAGTATGAACACATGTAAGGAAATAAGTAGATTGTGTAATACTTGTGAAAGAAATGTTAAGAGTAAAAAAGTACGAAAAATCATTCACAATATTCGTCCGTATTACCCAACCTATTACGGTTTTTATAGAACTTAGTGCCTTGTGTTTCTCAAACTCGTCCTCGAGGTTTGGGTCAAACTCGAGAAAGTGATCAAAGTCAGTTTCATAGTCTAATACTGGGTGACTATGCAAACACTGGTCGGTACATGGGTCGCTGTCAACCAGTGGAACGGACGTTGACAACCAGTTAGATTTCGTCATCTGGTTGGAGGTCATCAAGTGATCAGAGGTCGACCACTGGCTGGAGGTCGTCATTTGGGTAGGAGGTCGACCACTGGCTGGAGGTCGTCATTTGGGTAGGAGGTCTGCAGAAGTTTCACGAGAGCAACTTAAAATAAAGGCCGTAAATAACAGCAACACGCACCACACCACCAGAGCTTGTCCTCAAACGGGATATCTTTCGCTTCAAACTTTTTACCTCGGAGTCTATAACAGAGATAAATTGTTTGTATTTTTCAACCTGGTTTTTTTTATACGCTATTTCCGCCACCCGACAGGTCACTAAAGCGAGGGTCGGTGTTGTCTGCAAATAACAATCATCCCTCAGAGGTACGTTCATGCAAGTTTTACCTTTCCTCAATTTGGTTCTCAACCTATGACTTCAACCTAGCTAATTCCTGGTCTAGTTTTCGGTTTTAGTCGTATGTAATAAGGACCCGTTAAAATCATCCTACACAAAACACATTATTTTCCCAACTGCACCAGTAACCATTTTGATGCAACCAATAATTTATATAACATGTTATGACGAGCAGCCATCACCCCTTCTCTCCTCTCAGTCAGTCAGGTCAGGGAGTAAATGTCCGAGACTTCGCTATTACATACATGATTTGTACATCAACATCTACACTATCATGTACCACACTCTGATCTACACTCTCATGTACCACACTATCATGTACCACACTATCATGTACCACACTCTCATCTACACTCTCATGTACCACACTATCATGTACCACACTATCATGTACCACACTCTCATCTACTCTATCATGTACCACACTCTCATCTACACTATCATGTACCACACTATCATCTACACTATCATCTACAGGTAAAAGTAACCACAATACACTTTATTTTTCAATGTTTAAAAGTGTAGTTGACTAGTGTACTGTAGGTAAGTGTAGCTATTTTCCTTAAGCTACCACACAGTCACTATAACTCTAATGCTAGTTTGTAAGATGCCAACACAAACTCCTTACCTAACCTAGGCTATTTATTCCGCCTTACTAGCCCATAACTAGGACGGTGATTTTGTAGTACTGTACAGTGACCAGATCAGATTTTATACATATATATTTTTTTTATAAATCGTCATGTTTCAGCGACACACGAGGGATAGGTTGGTTAATAAACTATAAAACTTTGTCTTTATTATTTGATGCTAGTAAGAGAGGAACACTACTACAGTAAGTGATTCCCTCAAAAGAAAACAAAACACCTTCTGCAGTGTCTTAACTACACTCTACATCTCTGCTTAAAATAACAGTGATGCAGCCTGTGTGTGTAGTGAAAATAATGATACAACATTTATTTACAGTATTGTATGTAGAGAAGGTTCAGTACGACAACCTCTCCCTGGGCTTCCTGCAGTGAATTACCTCGCTGCCAAGTGTGAGCCTCAGTTTGGGAAGTGGGTTAGTGAGTGTAACACTCGTCCCGGTCCGAGGCTGTGGAACATTTCCGATTTTGACTTTTATGCCAATATGACGCAGTTGTTGGTGGCTTCAGGTCATAAAGACATTATTTTAAAATAGGTAAGTTATTTAACTTTCTCGCTTGTTTTGTAATGAATATATATATATATATATATATATATATATATATATATATATATATATATATATATATATATATATATATATATATATATATATATATATATATATATATAATAGTAGGCGGTTATTGATAGTGTTTACGCCCGAACTAATTTTATGCTGTAACTGGTAAGTTAATCATGCTGTAACTATAATGGGTGGAAGGCAAGTGAGCACACCTGGTGGGGGAGTCAATAACAGCACACCTGGTGGGGGAGTCAATAACAGCTCACCTGGTGGGGGAGTCAATAACAGCTCACCTGGTGGGGGAGTCAATAACAGCACACCTGGTGGGGGAGTCAATAACAGCACACCTGGTGGGGGAGTCAATACAGCTCACCTCATGGGGAGTGGGGGAGTCAATAACAGCTCACCTGGTGGGGAGTCAATAACAGCACACCTGGTGGAGTCAATAACAGCACACCTGGTGGGGGAGCAGTAACAGCTCACCTGGTGGGAGTCAATAACAGCTCACCTGATGGGAGCCAATAACAGCTCACCTAACAGCTCACCTGGGGGGAGTCAATAACAGCTCACCTGGTGGGAGTCATAACAGCACACCTGGTGGGAGAGTAACAGCTCACCTGGTGGGGAGTCAATAACAGCTCACCTGGTGGGGAGTCAATAACAGCTCACCTGGTGGGAGTCAATAACAGCTCACCTGGTGGGGGAGTCAGTAACAGCAGTCACCTGGTGGGGAGTCAATCACCTGGTGGGGACCTGGTGGGGAGTCACAACAACCTGGTAACAGCTCACCTGGTGGGGTCAATAACAGTCACCTGGTGGGGAGTAACAGCTCACCTCACCTGGTGGGGAGTCAATAACAGCTCACCTGGTGGGGAGTCAATAACAGCTCACCTGATGGGGGAGTCAGCTCAAGTCACCTGGTCAACAGCTCACCTGGTGGGGCCCAACAGCTCACCTGGTGGGGGGAGCTAACAGCTCACCTGGTGGGGGGACCTGGTGGGGAGTCAACAGCTCACCTGGTGGGGAGTCAATCAACAGCTCACCTGGTGGGGGACAATAACAGCTCACCTGGTGGGGGAGTCAATAACAGCTCAGTCACAACAGCTCACCTGGGGGGGTCAATAACAGCTCACTGCACACCTGGTGGGGGAGTCATAACAGCTCACCTGGTGGGGAGTCAATAACAGCTCACCTGATGGGGGAGTCACAGCTCAACAGCCACCTGGTGGGGGGAGTCAACAGCTCACCTGGTGGGGAGTCATAACAGCTCACCTGGTGGAGGAGGTCAACAGCTCACCTGGTGGGGGTCAACAGCTCACCTGGTGGGGAGTCAATAACAGCTCACCTGGTGGGGAGTCAATAACAGCACACCTGGTGGGGGAGTCAATAACAGCACACCTGGTGGGGGAGTCAATAACAGCTCACCTGATGGGGGAGTCAATAACAGCTCACCTGGTGGGGGAGTCAATAACAGCACACCTGGTGGGGGAGTCAATAACAGCTCACCTGATGGGGGAGTCAATAACAGCTCACCTGGTGGGGGAGTCAATAACAGCTCACCTGGTGGGGGAGTTAATAACAGATCACGCACGAGTCTTCAGAAGGAACACGCTGACTCACACGCCAGGAATGCCTTGGTCTCTCAAACACAACTTCAATAACTTGCTCAGAGCTCCAGTATCTCTCATCTGCACTAGAATTTCACTTGGTGGCTCGTTTACGATTCCGTCAATTGTTTATTTTAAGTAATTCATTATTAACCAAAAGTGAATTACGCGATCATTGGAGGAAGGGGTCTGCCTAATGCTCCACCTGTCTTGTGTTACCTGGGGGGGGGGGGGTGGTCATCAAGGGTGCCGGGGTCACGACTTTTAACTATCTTTGACCTAACCTGACCACCAGCCTCTTTAGTGAAGGTGTTATTATTAACCAAGTGTCAATATAACAGTGAGGTTCTCAATAACGCGGTTCATTGTCGTGAATTTCTCGACGAGTTGCCAGGTAGCGAGTGAGTTTGTCTTCTTAACCAAGCGGATATTTCTTGTACTAGACGAGTTATTATTATTATTTAGTTTGTCTTTACTGAAACCAAGGAAGGTAAGATAAACGGAATTGTTACTGTATAACTGTGAACCATGATGTATACATTGTGTCTCCGTGATGGTGTCAGTGTAGGGGAAATAACACCTGTCTTCGTTTCTTGATAGGCATTTCCAACACCATCAGTACAGTCACCTATAAAACCTCTGTCGTCTCTCCTCCTCAACCCCGAGATTCAGAAATAGTAAAAGCGAAGCATTTATAGACAGAATGATGCATCAGTATAGTGCCTAGGGTTCACGAGTCTGAATCTCGGGGTTCGTTGTTCAGGAAGAGAGGCGACAAGGCTTTATGGGTGACTGTATAGATATTTGTGGCGGTACAGACAATAAATGTACACACTTGACAGTCTGTATGACAAACTCCTCACCTAACTGGTCATACCCCTCCTCACCTTTCTCTAACCCCTCACCAACCACTCCTCCCCACCCCCTCCCTACACCTCCTCCCCACCCCTTCCCTACCCCTCCTCCCTACTCCTCCTCCCCACCCCTCCCTCCCCACCCCTCCCTACCCCTTCTCCCCCAATCTCTTCTCCCCCACCCCTCCTCCCCACCCCCCTCCCTGCACTCCCCTCCTCCCCCACCCCTCCCTCCCCCACCCCCTCCCCACCCCCTCCTCCCCCAATCTCTTCCTCCCCCCCACCCCCTCCCTACCCCCTCCTCCCCCACCCCCTCCCTACCCCCCCCCCCTCCCCACCCCTCTCCTCCCCACCCCCTCCCTACTCCCCCTCCTCCCCCACCCCCTCCCTCCCCACCCTCCCTACCCACCCCTCCTACCCCTCCTCCCCACCCTCCCACCTCTCCTCCCCACCCCTCCTCACCACCCTCCTCCCCCCACCTCCTCCTCCCACCCTCCCACCCTTCCTCCCCCACCCTTCCTCCCAAACCCCCTCCCTGCACCCCCTCTCCCCCACCCCCTGCCCCCCACCCCTCCTCCCCACCCCTTCCTCCCCACCCCTCCCACTCCTCCTCTCCCCACCCCCTCCCTACCCCTCCTCCCCAACCCTCCTCCCCACCCCCTCCCCACCTCTCCTCCCCCCCCCACCCCTCCCACCCCTCCTGCCCACCCCCTCCCTACCCCTCCTGGTCCACCCCTCCCCACCCCCTCCTGCCCACCCTCCCTACCCCCCTCCCTCCCCCCACCCTCCCTACCCCTCCTCCCCACCCTCCCTCACCTCCTACCTCCACCCCTCCTCCCCACCCCCCTACCCCCTCCTCCCCACCCTCCTTCCTACTCCCTCCCCTGCTCACCCCCTCCTACCCCCCTCCCCTCCCCCAACCCCTCCCCACCCCCTCCTCCCCACCCTCCTCCCTACTTCTCCTCCTCCCTACCCTTCCTTCCCCTCCCTACCCCTCCTTCCCACCCTCACCCCCTTCACTGTTACAAAGTGTTACCAAAGACTGTAAGACTCACCGTGAATGAACATGATACAAAGACCCGTGAACTGGTCCATGGAAACTCTTGACTGTTATCCTGGTCAGTGTTCAACATACAGCTCACCAAGAGACACTGTCACAACCGCGTGTTTCATCTACAACACCAGATTGTGAATGGTTTCCCCTCCCTACCCCTCCTTCCCACCCTCACCCCCTTCACTGTTACAAAGTGTTACCAAAGACTGTAAGACTCACCGTGAATGAACATGATACAAAGACCCGTGAACTGGTCCATGGAAACTCTTGACTGTTATCCTGGTCAGTGTTCAACATACAGCTCACCAAGAGACACTGTCACAACCGCGTGTTTCATCTACAACACCAGATTGTGAATGGTTTATAAGTAGGTGTTGTAAGTTCACTCTTTGTACTTATTACATTGAAAGCTTTTGTTAGTTAATGCTGTACACTATGTTATTTTTATCTATTATGTATATTATTAGTACACACACACACACACACACACACACACACACACACACACAGCGTCGAATATAAGGATCAATTACAGATGTTTCCAGTCAATATATTTTCCACACGATTATGGCTGCAGTGTTGAGTTGTCCTCAGTTTCAAAAGTTTCCCGCCAGACTCACAGCTACTGAAGGAGGTATGAGTGTATTGGTCAACACCTTCCCCCCCGATCACCCGTTGCTGAGAGTGTCAACCCTGTATCAACAAACCTGCTGCCTCCCTAACGTGTTCCCTTACCAACTACCGTAGAGTCGTGGTCTATTTTACATGAACTAAATCAAGCGTTGGAAATATACACGTCTTGTGGGTCTCAGTGTGGGATCAAGGGTATGAACTGGACGACGAGAGATGTGTTTGTCTTACTGGCAGGTGTTGCAGGGTATTAAGAAGGTCAGCAGAAGTATGGGAAGACTCTAAGAACACGAGAAGGTACAAGGTGAAGAATAGTAGCAAGATAAACCTGTATAAGCACCGTCGACTTGTTCTCTGCCAACTTTATTAATATACAATACAGTGAACGGTAACACACAGCTGGGGTTAATGGGTGAGCGTCTTAAGCCTTGTTCTGTCTGGCTGTGTTGATCCGTTCCTCCTTCCTGCTTCCGCCGCCGCTTCATTCACATTTTTCGGTATTGATCCTGTGGGTGTGGCTGGCAGCACCACCTTCTGCGTGTGGCTGTTACTGCTCTTACTCCCCCGCTGATTTAGTTATACTTGTAGTGTGATGATAAAAGTCACTGTTGTTGGTAGTGATGATCTACCTACCGGCTGGGAAGAACTGTATCAGGTAATATAAGAGTGACGACACACCACAGCCAGACACTAGCTAGACTAATGACCCCTAACTTCACACAAGCTCCCGGATTAGACCAAATTACGAAAATAATAACGTCGGCCTCTGGTTTATTACGTCATGTGTTCTATCTTACTGACTTGTAGTTAAGTTAGGGAAGTTAT